GTGGGGGATGCCAAGGCCCCAAAACAGTCACATCTCTCAGGAGTGAAGCAGCACTGAATCTGTGTGAAAGACTGTGACAAGGAAATACACGATGAGAAAAATCTCCACCTCATGTGTCATCTTAAGTTACCGTGCCTCAAGCTACGATTCCTCTCCCCTGTGCCCATGGGTATGTCTAAAGGGTAATTAAAAGGTGCAACCACAGCTCAAGTAGAAACTTCAAAATTCGTTTTGAATGAGTTAGTTCACATGTCAATGCAGGTGGTAACACTGAAAGGAGAACACAATGAAGTTACAACAAAACAAGGCCAAATACACAAAAGATCAGCTTGATACAACCTATTAATTTACACAGTGCTTCATTAACAGCCGGAGGGAATTCTACTCTAACTACTAACGGCCAGAGGTATATACAAAATAGCTTTAGAATAAAGAGCTTCTGAGGATAAAGTTGCAATCCCATTTCCTGAGAGCTCATTGACATATCCCAACTTTGTTAAGTCTTTCATTAACATCAAGCAGTCAGAGCAGAAAATACGCCAGCAAACAAAAAAATCCAGAGGAACAGCAGCTTGAATAAAGGATAAAGGGACCATTAAACACCACCATTCAGCACCATTTGGGAATTCTGCAGAAACAGCAGCCCGGTATTTTCACAGCTCATGACGTATCTTTCCAGCTCGGAGTTTCATTTTCATGAAACGCCCTCAAGAGGCAAAGCTTAAAATCATTGTTGCAGGGACCGCGCTACGGGCAACACAGATTCAGAGACTATGAATGGGACAAGTTTCTGTGGCACACAAAGTCTCTGGAACAGGACAACTGGAAACGGCCACCCAGCGCTAACCTTCCGTCGTACACAGGCAGTCAAGTAACATTTTAGGTGAGATAATGCGAGGCTACGGGGTGATATTTGTAGGGAGATGGCAGAGCTTTTTTAAATCAACTAACACCACAAGTGGAAAAAAAAAAAAAAAAAAAAAAAAGCTTGGAAGATGCAGGAGAAAGTTTCTCTTCCCCTCCACGGAATCAATCAGGTTGGAAAAGACCTCTCAGATCACGGAGCCCAACTGTGACCCAACACCACCGAGCCAAACAGACCACGGCACTGAGTGCCACATCCAGTCCTTCCTCAAACACCTCCAGGGACGGTGACTCCACCATCTCCTTGGGCACCCCCATCCCAACGCTTAACCACGCGTCTCCTGAAGAGATTCCTCCTGGTGTCCAATCTAAACCTCCCTGGCTCAGCTTAGGGAGATGTCCTCTCGTCCAGCTGCTGCCCTGCCTCCGCTCGCAGCCCGTCTCGCGGTGGGAGCAGCGGCACCGGGGCCATCCCGTCCCCGCGGCACGGAGTTGCCCGACTCCGCGCAGCCAACCGCGGTCACTTCCGAAGCCGGCGCTTTGGAAGCCGGAGAGTCCCTGCAGGCACGAGGAGCCTGTCCCCGGGCACAGCAGCACCGGCCCGCCCCTCCCCGGTTCCCCGCCAGCCGCGGGTCCCGGTCCCGATCCCGGCCCACGCGCGCGCCGCTCCCGCCGCGCCGGCCCCGGCCCCGCCCCGCGCGCGGCCCCCGCGCGCCTGTTGCACGCGCGCGCGCGCACGGGCCGGGGGTTCGCGAGAGGGCTCCCGCCGCGCGAGGCACCCCCGACCCGGGCCTCCCCTCCCCCCCACCACAACCCGAGCCGCCGGCGGCCGATCCCCGCCCGGTGCCTCCTCCCGCGGGGACGCGGCCCCGCGCACCGCCCGGCTGCCGTCACGCTCGCTCCGCCGGGGCCGAGGTAACGAGGCTCCCCCCGCCCCCGTACCTGCTGCCGGCCCGGCGCGGCACCGCGCTGTCTCCTCTCGGGCCCGAGGCGCGCGAGCGCCGCTCCCTCCCTGCCTCCCTCCTTCCCTCCCTGCCTGCCCGGCGCTGGCTGGCAGCGGCACTGCGCACGCGCGGGGCGCGCCGCGGCGCCCTCTGGGAGGAAGAGCCCTTCCGGCGAGGCCAGGCGGCGGCGGCGGCGCCCTCCTCAGGACGGCGCGGCCCCGAAGGAAAGACTACGGCTCCCGGCAAGCAGCGCGCGCCCCCGCGCGGGCGCGCCTCTCCCGCCACGGGGCACGCCGGGAGTTGTAGTGCGACGGGCGGTGGCGCCGCGCCCGGGAGGGTTTGGGGAGACGGGAGGAGGCGCCCTATGCCTTCCCCGCCTGAGGGACGGTGGCAGCGGCCGCCCGGGAGTGTCGTGTGTGGGACACGGAGGTGGCGGTAGCTGTGGCGGCGGCTATGTCGCCGCAGCCGCCAATGTCACGGCGATGCTAGGCCCCAACGCGCCGCCCGCCAGCGCCGCCGCCAGGGAGCTCCGTGCCGGGAAGCGCTGAAAGGGGCAGGGATGTTCCCGGGGCTGTTACGGCCCAGGATAGCGCAGCGGGCTGATGGTTCCACTTTAATTAATGCAGGTCCCCTAGCGGTGGCCTCGGTGCCGCCGCAGACCGCGTCACTGCGGGTGCGGCAAGCAGCGGAGCCATTTCGCTGTGCCACGGGCGATGCCGCGGCAGCCACGGACACAGCGGCGGCCCCGGGCCGGACAGGCTGCTGGTCAGCCACGGTGTACGGTGCGACAGACACGTACATGAGATTGTGTGGCACCAGCGGGCCCGCACACCCTCAGAGGAGCACAGGGTGACGATGGCAGGAGAGGGAGCCCCAGCAGCACCCACCAGGCTGCTTTCAGGCCCGTCCCAGGAGCATCAGCCCAATAAAGGCCCATTTCGAGGGGCACAGGAGCACAGCGGCGGGTGGGAACCCAAATGAAGGACTCAGAGAAAGGAACACCCTGTCCAGCCCCATCCCGGGAGCCTCAGCCCCGGAGCACCTTTAGGATTAGGGGTGCAGCTGTCTGCAGGGGTGTGGGACACAGGATGAGATGCAGGGGAAGAGCATTTGGGGATTGCACAGGACTCATCAGGGAGTGGTTAGGGCAGGAGCCAGGGGTGATCTAGGGCACACAGAGAAACAAGTATCGCATACAGGAACAGAAAGGGCCAGTCATGTGTCAATGGTTTGTGATGATTTGTCCATGTCCTGCACCTGATCGGCGTAGCCTGTCGGGTCTCCTCATTAAACTCCTTTTGCACTTTGCCCTGCGTGAGGAACTCGTGGTCAGAGCACCACAGGGAGCTGCTGCTGGGGGCTGGAGAGGCCGGGATTGAGGGGCAGCCCCTGGGCACTGCCTGAGCCCAGCTGCTGGACGGAGACACCCTGTACACGTGTGTAAATACTGCTGTAATACACAGAGGCTCACTGTGCACCTCTGTCCTGCTCAGCTGGAGCAGAGAGTGGGGTGAGGCTGCCTCTGCTGAGTGGGAGGGCTCTGTGTGGATGGATGTGTAATCTGTGTCCGTGTGTATTTGCTTAAGTGGTGCATGTGTGAATTTGTGCATGTGCCTGCTGGGAATACAAACTCTGTCTGGCTATTGCTTGGACATGGGCATGGGGCTGCAGCAGCCTCACCTCTCTCAGGGTACCAGATCTCAGATAATTTTGCCACATCAAAAGATACATATATTTGTGAACATACACACACTGGTGTATTTCACAGGGTTCCGTATTGAAGCACAGCATTTCTACCCATTGAATTAAGATAGATTAAAGCAGACAGGCAACAGCTTTCTCCCAAAGCATTTGCACCAAAAAAACAGTTCTGCTTTTCTTTCAGGGATTTCACATTTCTTGCACCCTACCTAAGCACATCTGTAATGCAGCAGGAGGTCTGGTTACAGTATTGGTTGGCATTCCTGATATACCTTGAATCAAATTAGCACAGTTATGGGTGGCAGCAGAGATCTCCAGGTTCTCCTGGTTTTGATGAAAGTCTGGTTTCAGATGCAACAGAGCTAATGCAATGCAGGTACAAGGATGAATTCCTGTTTCCTGTCTCTCTGCTCTTCTGCTCCCTTCTCCCCACCAAGTACATATTTTCAGGCACGGTGAACTATGTTCATTCTGCATGTCTTGTGATAACCTACCCTTAACAGCCACCACAGATGACTCCTTTTTGGATCACAGTCATCACCTGCAGGCAAGGATTTGCAAAACTTGTGTGGGGTGAGGCTGTGAGGCAGCCTACCAGAGAGAGAGGCAGGTCCAGGCTGTCTGGGTCTGTGTGATCACAGAGCAAGGCATGGAAACAGCAAAAAGCACCACCAGAGTTCCAGCTGTCTGAAAGCAGAGATACCTGAGACCAGGCTGACATCAGGTGCAGGTAAAATTAAGACAGAAGGTAGCTTCATTTCTGACAACAACTTCTGAAGCCCTGAGAGTTTTTGTAATCTGAGTTAATTCAACTGGAGGGAATTTACTCTTAAACCAATACAAAATTTTGAGCAGAATTTTTCTTCATGCAAAAGCGAGGCACACCCTTCAGCATGTTTTTAAACACAGCCTGAAAAGATAACAACAACAGTGAAGGCTGACAAATGACCCTGAGCTGAGGTAGGAAGAATGGAAGTGGACAGAGTAAACAGATCAGCCATCATGCTGTGATTGGGTTAAATTCGAGTTTAGGCAAAATACCCCTGGCTCTTGTTTTCCCCAGTGCAATGGGATGCCAGAAAATGGTATCACGATAATGCAGCCCTTTCTAAAAAAGGCCACGGAGCCAGACTGCTGACCATATTTAGCTCTACTAAGTTGCAATTGGCACCAGCAAGCCTTGGTTGTCACCCACTGACATTTTGTTCAGCCCTGAAAATGAAAACAGTTGCCTGCAATGTTTCAAGCCGTGAGAGTCACTGAGGACTCACAGATGGGAAAGAGAAAGATAAGGCAAAGTATCAAGTTCATCATGATTTAGGATCTCAAGGCCACCACAGCCAAAAGGGTTGTTCTTGAGAGGTGGCAGCAAACAGGAGCAGAGTCACAAGGGATGTCTGCAGCCACATGGGGTGAGCACCCACCAGGGAGGAGCAGCACCTGCCCCATCTGCACCCCTGAACCTCACTGGCATGGAGGACCTGTCCATACTCCCCGTCAGTACGAGGTGCTCACCATGGGAGTCACAGTGAAATGCTTTGATGAGTCCGTGCCTGCAGTAAAGCTTGACTGCTCTCCTTTGCTCCCCCAGGCTTGGCTGAGGAAGGGTGGTGCTGGGAGCTGTACCCTCAGGCTTACTCTTGGTGGTTGTTGGGTCCTTTACATTGTGCAGTGGAGAGATTGAAGCTTGGGAGTCTCCTGGGGGTCCCCAAGAGGAGGGCAGGCACCTTTGCCCAGCTGCTCAAGTCTGGGCCATTCCCACTTTCCTCTCCTTGTGTCCACCCTGCCTGGACAGATCAGAAAACCACCATTGCTGTCTGTGCCAGCTGCTGCATCCAGTGACAAGGGAAACTGGGTGACAATTCCAACTGCAGAAACCACAAACTGGTGTGGGCACTAAGGGGAGATAGCTTGTCAAGGGCAAACCTCCATCAGAGAGCAGCAGGGAGCTGACACAGGACTGGGGAAGGGGTTTGATCTTTTCCTCTCATGCAGGGAACACGGGGTGCTATTGGTTCTGCCTCTCCCCTTGTCTCCAAAGTATCACTCCAGGAGTGACAGAGTTAACAAATACAGTGGAGGAGACAGCTCTGTAAGCTGAGCTACGTGGTCACATGCACAGGTTTTATTTTTAACATCCCAAAACTACTTGATGTTTCTGCCTGGGCTTGCTCCGTGTCCTTCTGTTCTCTTCTCTTTCTTTGTGTGCAGTTCTCCCTCACCCACCTCACTTCAGCCCAGCTGAGCACAACCAGGAGAGAAGTGTTTGGTACGTGCACAGGGACTCTATGATCAAGGTAAGGCTTTGTAAATAGAGTTGGAGGGTTTTTTGGACAAACCTTGATGGAATGAAATGGTTACTATAGCAAGCTATGAAAATCAAGACATCTTCAAAACAGCCTTAGTAATTAAGATGAAATAGAATAATCATGAGATGTCTTAAATGACACTCTAAAACAGAGGCAGCTGGTAACTGTGAGCACTTCTGTGACATACTACTCTAAAAAAAACCCTCCATAATATATTCAGTGAATTAGCTGTAGTTTGCTGCACTCTATGCAGGATTTAAAAAAACCTAAAATGCTGATTGTAAGATGGGAGCTTCAGCAGCAGATCAGATGATAAATCAAAAATTCAATTTCTGTTATTTTCAGGAAACTCAGAGAATACAAGAATATACAGTACGGGTCAGAGGAAAGGCAAGAGCAATCTCATGGCAAAAGTGCTTATACTTAAAATTAAATGAGTTTTGTAGATTGAGACTGCAAACTTTATGTTGGAAATCTAGACTGAATGAATGATGGAGTAAGAATTGCAAGAGTTAAAGGTACTACTGTACCATTTAGTCTTGTGACTGCTTAGCAATTTTTATTCATTAATCTCTTTTATTTTTATTTTATGACTTAGATCTTAACCAGTAGCTCTGAGTTTCTTTATACTGGGCACCTTTCAGAAAAGTATGTTAATGAGATTGTTACCAGAGCATAAAATAGAACCCGAGCCCAAAGAGAAAAAAAACATGGTTTGGACCATTACCCTCCTTTTTTTTTTTCCTTAAACTGCAACCAAACTGGACCTATTCTTTTAAAGCACTTGTTGAACTCAAACCAAAACCAAACCCATTTCCTAGTTACCAATGCAAAGTGAAATTTTGCTTGACTGTGTCTACCAAGGACAGCACAGGGATCCCTGACAGGTCTGAGGAGCAGCAGAGCAGCTCCATGTCACAGCCTGCTGATCTGCCTGTCCCCCACAGGACTCCCCAGCAAGCCCAGCACATGATGCTGATGCTGAGCTTTCCTGCACTATGCCACCAGCCCAGGGAACCATTTCAGCACCTGGAATTTTGGGTGGGATTCTCTCAGATGAGCTATGGCTACATTGCACCAGGTAGGGAGGAGCAAGAAACATTGCTGATCCAGGTGTTTTAGTGGGGAGTGCAGTGCAGAGTTCCAACCAGCAATGCCCTGTGTTACCTGTGCCTCACTGCTCTGAAGTCTCCCTGCTCCTCCTGTAACAGCTTTAGTGCATTTCACCAGACAGAAATTGCACAAGCAAATTTTGGTGCCAGTTTACTGCCTGTGTGCAGCACAGATTTTCCAGGCAAGGGGGAGGCCTGATGGTGCAGCAGCTTCTCTTGATCTCCATGGTCCTGCATGTGAGGTGTAGGGAGCTGAGGAGAAGCTGATGTGCTGTTCTGAGAACCTGAGCAACAGGCATGCTCTGGAAGAAAGACAAGGAACGTGGATTGAAGTCCTTGCCCAACTGCTGCACTATACTTATTTTTTCAATATAAAGCAATTCCAACCTGTTCAGCAGCTCTGAAACAGTGTTTATTGCCATGAAACACCACAGCCTCACCCAGATCATCCCCAGGCAGGAAATACAGGCAGTAGCTCCCTAATTGTCACAGCTTCATCCTTCCATTGTTGGGCTTATCCAACAAGTCAGTTGTTTCACAGAAAATCTTACTCCTCCTCATGTCTTATGCTAAGGACTTAAAGTTCACCAGCATTGCTCTGGAATCAAAGTGCCCCTGTAAAATCCAAATAAACTTGTTCAAGGTCACCTCAAAAGCAGGTCTTGTTTATGCTCACTATTAGTGTTATTGATGAAGATTTCATCTGCACCTTTAATTCTCCCTTTCCACCTGCCCTGAGCCGTACCATACCCAGCCTGCCTCATTTAAAGCTTGGCTGGCAGTGAGTATTGTACAAGGTCAGTCTGAAATGGCAACTGCAGAGCAGGAGTGCCATCAAGGACAGTGACCCACTGTGCTGAGTGCCAAGGGGGTCACCCAAGCTGTAGCTGACCCTGCTGTGGGTGTTGAGGTGTGGAGTTCGACTTATTTAGAGGTCCCCATGACTCCAGGTGGCATTCTTGGATTTGCTTTTTATTTTGTGTCTAAGGAGAGGACTTAAGAAAACTTGGGCTCCTAGGATTCATGTACAAATGCAATGCACTATGGTTTCCAATGGCATAGTGATTTTGTCCTCACCTCTAAGAAATAAAAATATCTATTTAGCAAAAGGAGACCCAAGCCTGATTTCTTGACAAGGTTGTTAAGCAAGTAGTGATTGAGGAAGAGCAGTGCATGAAAGGAAAAGAAAATCACTAGTTAAAGAAGACTTACTTGGTGTCCTAGAAAATGTGATTCTATAGCTGGCTCTGCCAAAATTTTTGTGCAGGAGGCATGCAACTGCAAGTGAAACATAAAAACCTGAGCATCTCTATGCTTGGCATTTTTGCTTGGCATTTACATATTTGTGTGAAATACTATATTTAATTCTATATATTTTTATCTTTCTAAACTTTATTTCTACATCTGCCAAATAGAAGCAATAGTATTTTTCAACCTCAAGTGCTTCTCTAGTATTGCAAAGATAAATTCATTATTGTGAATACGATCAGATCTAAGATAGTAAATATACTGACATGAAAATTCTTATATGGTAAGACAATTCCCCTCAAGATTTCAGTATAATAAAGATGAGATAAATGCTATATACTGGGTAACAAGAGTTAAAAGAAATAGAGAACATTGCCCATCTGCCCCATACACTTCACCAAAAGTATTCACATTCCTTCTGTTGAAACATTATATATAACTTCAGCATTCTTGGCTCCAGCATTTGGATGTGAACTTTTGTGAGATTTTTTTAGGAGCTTGTTATCATGTTGTAAAATTTAGAAATTTTGCAATCTCATCTCAGAGGCACTCTTTAGGGTCATTATCTGGGTTTCTGGTGGCCCTTTTGGATATTTCTTCAAACTGGGAGGTATCCCTTGATTCTGTGCAAAGAGCTCAGGTACAATGTATGACCTTAGTATGTCAAATGGTCAATCACATGCCAAATGAGAAAATACTTGTATTATTTTGGCTCATTGACTACAAATTAATTAAATATATGTCTTCTGAAAATAAATTTTAATTGGTTTATAAACTGTAAATTTTTATCACTGAACAGGCCCACTCCAGACACAGACATAGCTGCAGTTAAAATAGCAGCTGTATATTTTTAAACCTTACTTGATTTGCTGTCATTATGGTCTAAAAATATTTACCAAAGTGGACAGACTATGGACTGTAATGTTCATTCTTTCCTTACACAGTAGCTTGAACATCATTGAAGTAATAATTTCTGGTTTGTTTGGATTTTTTGTTTCCTAACCCAGACCTGGAGAAATTTTGCAAGTTGCAAGGAATCAAGTGTACAAGTTTAGAGAAATGTTTTGTCACCTGACTTATCTGTGTGTCACCTGCCTCTGGATGTTACGTATCAAACCTACTGAGGCAAAAATTATAAACTTTCTGCTGAGTGTTTTGAGTTTGCAGTTGGTGTACTTGCAATAATACCATCAACTAAACCACAGCCAACTAAATTATCAATTAAAATACAGAGCTCCTAATTACTGGCATGTCAGAATAGAAGAAGCATTCAAACCCTGATAAATATCAGAAAGAAACACTCTGTCCCTTCTTCCTGTCCTCTATGTTCGCAGATTTGACAATGAGAAGAGAGGAATAGATATCTTTTGTCTGAAAAGAACAGCATATACAAGTTAGAGATGAGGTAAACTAAACTAAAAAAAATGCCTGAATAATGAGGAAGACTGATTCTGCATCTGAATGCTGTGATAGGGTCACTTTTCATAAATAAAGCATGTATTTTCTTTCTCTTCACATGATTTGGACAGGGTTTATTTCAGCATACAGCAATGTGAAAGCAAGCTTCTCTGCCATCAGTCCTTTCTGTGTTTTGGAGAACAAGAAGGCCTATGCCTCAAATGTAGGGGTTTTTTTTAATCAACTATTTCTCCCCAAGAGTTACTTTTGCAGTGGAAAGTATTGTTCACACAGTCATGTTTTTATTGCAGTGTAATGTACCCAGCCTTTCCTCTGACCTTATGCAAGTCATGGCTGGGACTATTTTTAGAGATTATATTTGCAGCAAAATGCTACAAGAATGAGAGCAGCAAGGATGCCACCAGTGTGAAATAAATCCGTCTGTATCTCCTGCTTCTCTGAATCGCATAAATTAGATGTAACTAAGCAGCCTAAAGCAGGACAGGTGCCACCCCAAACCACAGGTATTTAAGGGCTTGGTGTGGTTGAGGTCACCCTGGCTAGCACCCTGATGTCACCTCTGTGCAGAAGCCAGCATTTCCTAAGGCAAGGCAGGGATGTTATAATGGGAAGTCACAATGTTTTATTTTCTGCATTGCTATCTTGAGCTCTTTCCTTGCAAAGGTGATGGTACTTTATACTTGAGAGTTCAAGTTTGTCTCTGAGTAAAGGGACCATCAAGGGTGTGTGTTCCTTTACTCTGCAGGGCCAAGAGGGAATGGGGTTGATTCATTAGGAGGGTAAGCAGGTATTGATCAGCACTGGAAATTGCAAAAGATGGAACTAAGTTGTGTTGAGCAATTAATGCACACCTAATTTTCAAATATGAGTGTTGGTATTTAGTGCAGAGACCCACAAGCATTGCCTTTCCCAGATGTCTTTCCTTCTCCAGTATTGTTCATGATTTCCATGCCAGGGTGTAAAGGTCTGAAAGATATGAAGTTAAGAGAACACCTTCAAGAAAGAGAGGAAGTTCTTCATGTAGAATCTCTTCCCCAAGCCTGAACCCACTTCCTCTGCAGCTCACCTCTCCCCACAGCTAGGTCGCTTAACCCTGGGTTTGCAAAAGAAAACACATCTAGGTAAACACTACTTTTCTTGAACTTGTTTTCTTTACCCTAAGAAAAATAATACAAAGTCTAAATTATTTTACTACCAATTCCTGTCTTTTCTCAGAGCCTAGTGAGAGTCTACTGGGCCTGTGGTAGTTCTTACTGCATGAAATGGCAGGGGAGGAGGAAGATTTGTCAAATTTTTTTCCTATTTTCACATAAAAAAGAAAAGCACCCTGGGTCCTGTTTGAAAACAAAACTCAAGTTCCTCCTTATTGTTAGCTTCTTTCTTTCCACAAAGATTCACAGTGATTCCAGACCAAGGCTGGAATGCACTAAGCTCCTATAGTAAGGAGCAGGAAGTGAAAAGCTGGGATGTTTCTACTTGCAGCAGGTCTTCTATGGGCCAAGTTACTGATAGCAGTTGAAGGTATCCAGGGAAGTAGTGACTGAGCAGCCTCTAGTTCTGTAAGCCAACAATTGGAGTTTGAGGGTAAATCAGGAAAGCAGAGAAAGAAGGCCAAGGAAACTAGCTCTTACCCAGGCTGTTTTCCACACTGGAATAATCCTGAAGATAATCCTCACTCTTGACCTTGGTGATGTAGAGCAAAGGGAGGTTCACTGTGCAACATTCATGTCTTTGTGGGGAGATGAGAAGAGGCCTAGGCCAAATCTAGAGAAGAAAAAGGAATGTCATTTTTCCTGCTCAGTGTTGAGGAAGTGGGATGCTCCTTCACTGTGCCCCTAGCAGTCTTGATTTCAGCAGCCTGGTGAAATGCTGGGACAGAAAACAGCTCATACTCTGGCTGCCTGAGCTAAGGAGTAAAGATCTTGTGTGCGTCTGTGCTCTACCAGGCCAGGCTGTACCCTGGGGCTCAGAGGTGATACGTGGCTGCATGGAGCTGGCAGTCACTTTCTCACCGCCTCATCCCCACCAGAAGTGCATGTTCACACCTCATGTGTGGAAGCCAGCTATGGGCATGGAGGGTCTGTGGCTCTCCTCATTCCTTCAGACAATAACTCTTGCCTCTTTGTCTTTGCCACTCACAGCACCGGGCCCAGAAAGCTCCCCCTGGGCAACACAGGCACTGTGAGCGATGTTTCAGCCGGCACTGCCGCGCACCCATTGAGATCTCCGTGTCCTGCATGGTGATCAGCTGCCACCTCCACTGCGGGGCCACCTTCCACATGTGCAAGGAGGAGGAGCACAAATTGCTCTGTCCCTTGGAGCAGGTGTCCTGCCTCAATTCAGCCTATGGCTGCCCTTTCTCCATGGCCCGCTTCAAGCTGGGGAAGCACCTCCAGGTCTGCCCAGCCAGCGTTGTCTGCTGCTCGATGGAGTGGAACCGCTGGCCAAACGTGGATTCAGACACAACGCTGCACAAGAATATCATGAAAGAGACCTTGACTGAAGAGTGTCTGGACACAGCTTTGGCACTCAGAGACCAAAAGATACTTTTCAGGGCTTTGAAAGTAGCTGAATTATTTCCAGAGTGGAGGAAAAAGGATGAACTGGAAGAATTAATGGATCAGGCCATGGGTGGGGAAGCAGGTGCTGTGGGAAGAGCTGCCTGTGGTTCCCAAGAGGGCAATGACCAGTGTGAGCTTAGCCAACGTGAGCGGGAAGATTTGGCAAAGGACAAAGAGGGAATGGATCTGGGGAGTTACAAAACATGGGAGAACATTTTCAGCAAAGAGCTTCTGGCTTGCCAGGTAACAGGCTCAGCAACCAGCACAGGACAAAAGACGGAGGAGGCTTCCAAAAAGACAGCAGCAGCTTCTCATGCTGCCAGCTCCACAGAGAAGGCAAAGGAAGGACCTGATGGTGCAGAAGCAGGAAAGGGCCAAAAGTCTGAACAAGTAACACCAAGTAGAGAACTGAATGGACTGGCTCCCTGGCAAGAAGGGGTCCTGGAGAGGCTGAAGAAGGAAGTCGGTGTGGCGGATTACAACATGTATCTGGTCCATCACGGGGGAATGCTCATCCGCTTTGGCCAGATGGCTGCTTGCACTCCCAGAGAAAAAGATTTTGTCTATGGGAACTTGGAAGCCCAGGAGGTGAAGACGGTCTACACCTTCAAAGTGCCAGTGAGTTACTGCGGCAAAAGAGCACGACTAGGAGATGCACTGGGCCACAAGATGCCAACTTCAGACAAGTCAGTGGATACCTCAGAACTGGGAATAACCATAGAAGATCTACCTAAGACAAATATAGTTGAAGCCACACTGCTGTGTGCTCTGGAGAAAGAGCTGAAAGGCCATGAGATCTCTGAAGCAAGAGGTATCGATGGACTCTTTGTGGATTTTGCGACACAGACATACAGCTTTCCTTTGGAGCCCTTCTCCTCCAGCGCAGTTCTAGCAGATATTCTGGATGAAAACAGCCCACCAGAGCTGCACATGGAGCTCTACACTGAATGTGTAACCAGAAGACACAACAAAAGCAGTTCAGCTTTCACGTTCACTTGCAGTCATTTCTTTAGGAGGGATGAGTTCCCATTCCACTTCAAGAATGTGCATGCTGATATCCAGTCATGCCTGGACGGATGGTTTCAGCACCGCTGCCCACTGGCCTACTTGGGATGTCCTTTTGTCCAAAATCACTTCCGCCCCGAGGGACTTAAGGCCAAGGTTATTTACAGCAAGCCTCTCAAGACATTTGCTATTAAGCCAGAGGTGGACACCCTTCTTGCTGAACCGGGCAAGTGTAACTTCATAGTGGATAGTCGAGGGAGAAGCAAGGACTTGCTGAGCAGCCTCCCAGTGGAAGTGCTCAAGTACATTGCAGGATTCCTGGACAGCTTCAGTTTATCTCAGCTATCACAAGTGTCAGTGCTCATGAGGGACATCTGTGCCACTCTTCTTCAAGAGAGGGGAATGGTCCTGCTGGTCTGGGAGAAAAAAAGATATTCCCACGGTGGTGCTTCTTGGAGAGCTCGCAAAAAGGCAAGTGACTGTGACACTGGGAAAAAGAGTCATGAGTTCGCTCCAGATAAAACATGGGAATGACAAGAAAAGCTGCATCTAAACATGCAGATGTGGGGAAGGTTCATAAGGTTGTGAATTTGCACAGGGGTTTGTTGTCAAGGCCCAGGGCTGTAGGGTGCAGTACATCTAACAAAAGGATGAAGGTGTAACTAGACTTTTTCTGAAAGTCCCCACCCAAGCTCATCTTGGGTAACCCCTTTGCATGTTCACCATTTCTAGGCACTGAGAACTAAGAATTCCTGATATTTAAGTACTACCATCCCCATTAAAAATGGCAGGTGATAACTAAAGCAGCAAAACCAGCAAGTACGAGGTACATAACCATACAGACCCCATTTTCACTTGCTATGCCAGCTCTGCACCATCAGACGTTCATTGCAGTGTCCAGAGTGGGTAATGCACACCCATTGTAAGCATAGACAGGCATTTAAAATCCTCATTTTGTCTCCCTAATTCCTGTCCCCTCTCTTGCATTAGGTCTGGCAGTTCAGCAGCCTGTTCTCCAGAGTTCACAACTGGCAGCGTAGCGATGTCCCGAGCATGTCGGAGCACCTGAGGAATTGTCCCTTCTACCAGGCGGAGCACAGGACAGACCCCGTGCTGCTGACGGGCATGAGCGAGTCTCGGGAGCAGACTCGAAAGACTTTGGTCTCTACTTTCAAGCACAGAGTCTGAACAACTTGCTTCCCCTCTGCCATGCTCCCTTCAGGGCTCTGAGATGAAGATTTGGGGATTCAGGTGTAGAGACTGTTGCTTCCAGCTCTCCTTTGGACGTACAAAATTGGTTTCTCCCTAGCTGCATTTGAAACCTCTGCATTTTTTTTCCCTACATTAATTTGTTAAAGCTTCAAACACTGCCTACTAACTTCACATGCTTTCTGTTTTCTGTTCCTGGTTTAATACAGCATCCTGAAGAAAGCAATGAGGATCTTGTTTGAAAACAGCATTTTTACATCCTTGAAGGTAGGCTGCTGCTCCTTTACCATGTGCCTGAGATAAGCAAGAGCAGTTAATGTACTTAGCTCAAATAAATCTGAAACACCTTAGTTTTGTCTGGAAAGCCAAGTTCTTGGAGCACAAGTAGATGCCCTCCTGGCTGGCAGACCTAGGGACTGCTAACCTGCTCTGAGACATGGGCAGAAGAAAAGGACACCTCAGAATTACATTAATTAATTAGAACTCCAGTGAGAACTTGGGAATTCACTGCACAGCCACAGACCATCATTTAGGACCCTGACTAAGGCAAGCACACCTAGCTGAGTGCAAGCCTAAAGCTGAGCTCATGGGAGCATTCAAACCAAACCAAAGCAAGCAAACTTGTTCTTTGTTAGAAGTAACCAAGTGGCAAATAATTTCGGAGACTCAATTGATTTTTTATATTTTCAGGTAACAACTTTCTGTGTTTTATCTAAAAATTCATTAAAGCCATTAAAGAATATTTTAAGTCATTTTCAGAACACCTTACCAACTCAGTTTTGCAGTTGTAAATTGCAAATTCTAATTGTAAGCAACTGAAAACAGGATGTCAAAGAAATAATATTCTTTCCCATAAAAGAAAAGTAATTCAGTAACCCATTCAGTAACTGTATGGATAACGTTTGCTTCAGTTGAATGGTCTGGAGCATAGAATCTTTTTTTACAGAGCAGAAGAGTGATTAGAATTTGGTTTATCTTCTAATAAATACGCTAGCTTAAACCAGAATGGGCTTGTTGAGGCAACAGATGAGAGAAAACAGGCATGTTACCAGCAGTTACACTGCTTGAAACCATTCCAGTGGTGCTAGTCAGAAATGCCATGGATGTGATGGTGGGTGAGATTCCTCTGAAACAGCCATAAATTTATTTGTCATTTTAGGACAGCCTCCAGCCACGGCACAGCCACAGGCCACTGACTCACCCTCTTTCTTTTTTAAGTTCATAGCCAGAAGTGTGAGCTCAGGAATGAGGTCTGGCTTTCATCTCTCTGTCTCAGACAGGAGAACCTTGCTGGGAGCTGGGATGTTTGCTGGCCTGGACCACTGCTCCTCTCACCTGGGCTGGCCAGGTGCAAGCTGGCTCAGGCAGATGGATGGAAATGTGCTGCCCTTGCCATCCATGACCTGGTGCAGATGTGGGATGAGGTGGCCATGCAAGAAGGAGCCCTCTCTTACCCAGAGAGGTTTCTGATGCACCTGAGCTGAGTGCTTGGTAACCAAAGGCATGAATTGCATGGTGGCCCAAACCACCCTGAGTGCAGCTCAGCCTTGCCTACACTTGCAGCTTAAGTGCTCCCTGTGAGATTTTTAACCATGTGAGAATGTTTTCCATCTCCAGACACACACCCTCAGGACCATACAGTCTGAGCTGTGAGGACAGTGGAATGGTCCCAGGAGCAGGAAAAGCAACAGTTCTTTTTCTTTTTCTTTTTTTTTTTCTTTTTCTTTTTCTTTTTCTCTTTTTCTTTTTCTTTTTTTTTTTTTTATGCTACTCTATTTTCTGCCCCTAGAGATCCTTTCTGGGAAGTCTCATAATGCTTTAGACATGAAAATAAACTTCTCTGCACAGGTATCCTGCAGAAAACACAAGTAGCATCCCAGGTTTATGAAGAGGAAATGGAAGGAAATGAGCACAGGGAACCTAAGCTGGGCCAGGAGCATTTAGAACCACTCAAATCCTTCATCCTGAGGCTTAAGCCACTGCACAAAAACAAACTGTCCATCCATTAAAGCTGCTTACAAAAACTCACCTGCCCTTAAAACATTCCATAACATGAGCTGCCCAATATTATCTCCTTGTTTTACATAGCAAAGTTGACAGATATTAAAACATACAGCCAGAATTCCTAGACTACTAGGTCTCTAGAAATACCTAAGAGACCTAGAATTCCCAGGTCTCTTCGTCAGGAACTCATTCTTCACTTATCATGTATCTGATTTTGAAAGATGCTGAGCACCCAACTGTTGCTGCAGACCACAATATCTGCAAATGCATGTCCAAAACTTGGGTGCCAGAATCTATGCTGGGTGCTTGAAAATGGAGCCACTTACTTTTATGGACAATTTGGGGAGGTGGAAGAAAGGTTGCTTAAATAATATGGTCTCAGAGTAAGCCAGTGTTGAAGGCTGGCAGGAGACCATGAAAAATTTCAGCCTGTGAACAATCTCTCACATGATCAGCCACTTTAGCTGCTGCAAAGTGCTGTGGCTGTCCTGAAATTTTGGCCTATGTTAGGTGTGAATTTGGCTCATTTTACCTTTAGTGACAGTGTCACCAGCACCGCTGCCATTCTGCTCCTGGCTGCCTTCTGTCAGTTCAGGGGATTTTGTTCTTGTCACTCCCTGCTCCTGGAGATGGCAAACTTCAGTTCCAGCCTTATTAAAATGGATCCTGCTTATTCCCTCCACAGAGGGTGCATGAGTCAGCCTTCAGGGGAATGCAACCTTTGGAAATGCAATGGTTGAGGTCAGAGTTAGGAATATTGCAACCTCCACCTCATGGGATCCGTCAGGGTGTGCACAGAACATCCAGGAGACTGGATCATTTCCCTTCTGGCTCATTTCCCTTCTTCCCTACAGGGCATGCTGGAGAGACACAGAGTACTCATTCATAGAGAGACATATTTGCTCCTGTGAATATATAGGTGTATTTCTGAAAAACTGTAAATTTGATTAAGTAACCTTCAGCATATCCAGTCAAAGCTGAAAATCCACAGCCAAAATCTTCAGGTTAGTCTGGTCAACCTGATCTGGGAGAGGCAAAACTGTACAGGGAAGGAGACATCACCCTTGCATTTCTGCACACCCACCTGGCCAATGTCAGCAGGGAGCTGCTTCTCACTTCATCCCAGCCTTGCCAGGGGTGGAGAGCTGTGGGCTGGTGTCAGATGCAGTTTTATTCATCTCAGGGTCATGCCAAGCCAGCTCAGTGTTGGTGGTCCTGCCATTAGCAGAGTCAGCAGAAGATTTAGGAGCTGGAAGGAACTGAATTTTCCTGCACTGTGTGTCTTGGTGAGCACAATGCTGGCTTATTTAAAAGGTGAGAGGCTTCAGTTTGGGTTCAGCAAGTCCTTAGCTCCTGGTCTGAGTTTGTAATTTGGCAAAGAAAACTTTGGTTAAATCTCAGCTTGAGTAATTTGATTAGGAGAAACTGAGCATGTGGTGTCTTTCAAAATAGTCTATTGTTTTGGCAGGGTCTGAACTGGAAAAGGGGATCCAATTCCAGCAGAGCATTGAGGTTGCTCTCAGTCCAGCCCCCACACTCTGGATCTTCATGACTTTGATCTTGTTTGTGCTGTCCACAAGTCCTGTGAAGTGCAAGAGCAATACTCCACACACTCCATCCAGGCTGATGTGTCTTGCAGTGTTTCCTCTCACTGGAAAATTGGAAGTGAAATGAAGGCATCGTGGAAATCAGAAAGGTCAGAGCAGGGCAAAAACCTCATGACAAGAGAAGACAGGAACCAGAAAAGGTACTGGGTTTGGATAGAGAGAGCTGCCTCTTTGTAGGTGGTGTGAGGAGAGGCAAGAGGAGACAGCTGAAAGGGCTCAGGAATGAAAGGAGTTGGGGTGTGCTGCCAAAACCAGAGGTTTTCTGGACAGAAGCATTTCCTTGAGAAAGACTCTGGAAGTTCCCAGCTGGTGCAATACAGTGACATGGGGCAGAAGATCATTTTTAAGGGGTGAAAGGGCAAGTGACCTGCTGACATGTATCCTAAGTCTGGGCTGAGGGAAGGAATTTTCTGATGGACCTCCAACTCCCAAAACTGAGAGAGTACAGATAAGGTGAAGTTTATCTGAACAGTGCCTGTTATTTTGGGAAACTCTGTAACTCCTTGTTGCATTCTTAGGAATAAAAATTATTATGGTATAAAAAAATCCATTCAAATTCAGGTCTTAGTTTGTTTTCTTGACTTCATCACATAAATGTGTGTTTTGCCTTCAAATGAGGTGTGGCAGTTCCTGTAGTCTCATATTCATTATGCTCCTGTCCTCTGCTCTGCTCTTCACTATCATTTTCTTGGTTGAAGACTTTTATTTATATATGTTTTATATTTATTTAATTTTAACAAATATTTTTACGTTTGACCTCATCTTCTTTGCACAGCCACTTTCTCCTTCCTGGTTCAGTTATTTACTTAAATGAAAAACTATATCTTCTTTTAATTTCCATTTTCCAGATTGATGCTACATTATATCTACAAACATATGAAGAAAATTTTTCTCCTTACCCTTCACCTTGTGGCTGTTCATCCAGGTAGCTACAGAGCGGCTTTTTCTTCTTTGCTTTGCATGTTCCAGAGACACTGCACATCTCTGTCAGAAATTCTGAGCATCTTTCTCATACAGTTTCCTTACCACTGCATTCCACACTAAAGAGTCTCAAATTCCTTGGGGTTTAATTTTTTTTGAAACAAAACGTGCATAAGCAGTGCAGTCTTATTCTTATTTATCTTCCCACTGAATTTATATGTAAGGAAATTATGATCACACACTCCAAATTTATTTTTGATGGCCACCTGCTCTATGACTTAATTGCTATTTACAGCTAACAAATCTTTTGTGAGTTCAGTGATGGTTTGGTGAAGGAATTTGTCATGTCATGCTGAGAATCACAGGCCTGAGGCCCATAATGATGATGAGAGATGATTCACTGGTCCATAACTCTGAAGTTGTTTTCCCCATGTCAGCAGAGCCCTTACTGGGATTTATCTCTTTTAATATTTGCTCTCTCCTTACATATCCAGGTATGAACTCGAGCAGTTCATGGCTGACACTGAGCTGCATCACAGAAAAGCCTCTTTTATCTTTCTGAGTTCCATCTAAACAACCTGTATCATACCTGTGGTATTAATGAACTGGTTTTGTTTTCCTTTCTACCAGCCCTGAACAGCAGAATTTTTAACACCCAGGATGACTGTTAAGCTACCACGTTGCTGGTACTTGCCTGGTACCTAGTTTACACCCTATATTGTTTCCTACCAGTATCTAGAAGGTGGTTACAAAGACAATGGAGCCTAGGTCTTCTCTATAATAGCAGGTGATGTATCAAGGGACAGTGGCAACAAAATGAAACTTTGCAGGTTGAGGCTGAACCTCAGGAACGACTTTTTTACCAGGAGGGCAAAAAAGCAGCATTGGAACAGGTCCCCAGAAAGGTGGCAGTATCTCCATTCTTGGAGGGTTTCCAGATTTGGTTGGACAAAATTATGGAGCCATGAGTGAGTCAGAGGTTAGACCAGAGACCCCTGGAGGTCTCCTCCCAGCATCACTTCTCTGATCCCACAGCAATGCTTGAGATTCCCTCAGTGCCACCCTGGCTCACCTGCTTCCCTTGGCTGAACTAGATGGTCCTCTGGCTGCTGCTTTTGTCTGCTGCTGCTTCTCTCATCACAAGGAGTGTATTCTTTCCCCTTGATGTCTAGGCCTCTGCTCATTGATACCTCTTATCTGTCATCACATAGTGATTTTACAGGTTTTCATCTCCCTGAGTAGGAAAACAGATCCCCAGCACTCTCCCAGCAGCTGCAGCACCACTGAATGGCTCCCTTGAACTCGATGCCTTCGTGGTAAAGCTGTGCTTTGTTGGAACGTGTGGGTGCCCCTCTGAGAGCATGGATAATGCTGGACAATAACCTGTAGGGCCAGGGGAGCACAGGTGAGTGCATCTCAGACTGGCAGGGACTCACAGGGTCCCTGCTAGGTGTGTGTGTGATCTTACCCTGGAGAGGCAGAGGGAGCACCAGGCAGAGCAGCTGCCCACGTCTGACAGCTCATGGCTCCTAAGCACAGCTTCTGCAGGGAGTTCATATTCCTTGTGAGGCTTTTCCAAGCAGGACTGAACTGGTGGGTGAGGATGGGACTGGGATGCAGAGGGTAAGGCTGTATCCAGACCTCTGAGCTGTGTCTGGTGCTTATCATGGTTTCCTGCAGGTGTGTATCCATGATTTCAGCTGACCACAGCGAGGGTGAGCTCTGTTACTGTGAGGAGAGGAAACAGACCAGCAGAGAAGCAGCCAACTTCTCCCCATGTGTTTGAAAGACAGAGAAAAGGCAGCAGTTAAACACCCTCAGAGCTCATCCATTTCCTTTCTCACAGCTTGTTTTATCCCCAGTGATGTTTCTTCCTGCAAAGCCAGGGCTGAATTGGCAGCTGCTGGTGGCACTACACTCCCACTGGGCTAAAGGGGAGCTGGAGCTGCCACTGCAGACCAACCATCTTCTCTCCAGCTGAAGAAGGTTTTGCAGGGAAGAAAAAGAAAAAGAAAAAGAAAAAGAAAAAGAAAAAGAAAAAGAAAAAGAAAAAGAAAAAGAAAAAGAAAAAGAAAAAGAAAAAGAAAAAGAAAAAGAAACCCGCTCCGGCCTTCAAGTATTTCACAAAGATAAAGTAGTCAAAAAAGCAAATATGCAGAGAGGTGACTGCTTTTAAACACTGCAGTCTGGGAAGAGTTCCTCAAGCCCAGTGGTTGGGCCTCATTTCCCTGCTGCCTCCAGGCTCCCAAGCTTGGTGCAGGAAGAGTTAATGGGTTTAAATGTAGGGAGTTTTTTTCCCTGTAGCTTTGTCAGAGTGAAAGTGAAACAGCTCTGGTAGCCAGTGTGGGGCTTCTCCTGCACCCCCCACCCCTGTAGTGAAGGTCACCCAGTGAAAACAGGGTCCTTCCAAAGGTGAATGCTCTTCCAGAGGGGAAAATGGTGCAGGGTGAGAGGGATCCACTGACAGTCAGTATCCATCCCCCACGCAGATTCCCTGCTGTGTATGGACTAGGATGGGGAGGAGGTGGACCCTGAGATCCCCACACACAGCTTTCAGCAGGCTGGTGAGGGCCCTGCCTTCCATCCTGGCTCATGGTCACTCTGTGGCTCTCCAGCAGGGTCAGCACTGCCCTGCTGCTCAGAAAAACCCCCTGCAGCAGCCAAGGAGGCAACAGTGCTGACTACAGGGGACCAGGTGGCCAAAAGTCCATGTGGCTGTATCAAAGCTGCTAGGAAGTGAGGACCCATCCCTTGGCTGCAAGGACTGAGCCTGGGAGACAAGAGATGCAGCCCTTTTTTGTGTGTCCACCCCGCAGCACCAGGCCCAGCAATCACCCAGCTGTGTTTGGCCAGTGAGGATGGGAAGTGCCTGGGGGCAATCAGAGTCCCCTGTCCTCAGGCACTGACACTGCCCTGCTCCCTCCTACCACTGCTCCCAACACCCATAGTCACAGCTGCTCAACTTCTTTCCCTTGTCACAGACTTTTGTACTGTGCTATCAATAAATCAATTCCCTGTTTACCTTCTCCAGAACTTCCTAGAGTTCATGTCATCCCAGCAGTGGCATCATTTGAGAGAGAGGTGGAAACTAGTCTGACCTGCCCCAAAACAGAAATTCCTCTCCCAAACACACATTTCTCCAGGCACTGGCAAAGCTGAGATGGCCCCTCCAGCATCACTCCTGCCCCAGCAGCAGTTCAGTCCCAACACAGGCACAGCCACCTAGAGCTGCCCTGGCAGAGCCCAGCTCTGGGAGTGCCCATCTCACCAAGGCACCAGGTAGGTGTCAGGGGCAGAGAGACAAGTCCTTCATCCTGCCCAGACCCCCTCACACCTCATCTACCCAGCTTGGGGATCAAAGCCTCTGAGTCACTCCACATCTTCCTGGCTCCCCATGCTGTCTTTCTGGTATGCTGTCACACCCATTCTCTCTGCCCTCCTCTACCCTTTCACTTCTTCAACTTTTATTTGACTCCCTGAGGTTCTGAGGGAGCAAACAGCTCATTTCCTTCAGGGGAAAAGAGATTTTATGACTGAAGGTGAAGCAACAGAACAAAAGTCTGTAGCAAGTGCACAGGCACAAGAAAGCAGCCATGGCCCAAGGAGTTGGGCACACATCTGGACCCAAAGTTGAGCTGGAGGCTGAAGCTACTGGACAGCTCTAGCAAAAAATGCTTCCCCCTGTTGGAGCTGCTGGGATTCACACTCTCCTTGCTGATGTCACATTGCTTCTGTGTCACATCGCTCCTGCGTCTCCCTGTGACTCAGCAGGGAACAGCAAGCCATACCTGCAGTTTAACGAGTTATGACACATCAGTGCAGCCAGCACACCCGGTCCTGGGTCTGTGTGCCCTTGGCTCACCTGTTTCCTGTCACTTGTGTGACAAGAGCAGCACACGGTCAGCTGCTGGGTTGTTCAGCCGGGACAACTCATTGGGTACTCTGCTGGTCCAGACAACACAACATCACTGACCCTTCTGCTCCTCTGCAGAGCGAGGGATATCCCAAGGACAGGAGAGGGATGTTATTGCTGCTGTCTTCATCACTGACCTCTTCACTGAGCTCTGGAGAGGAGCAGGTGGGAGTTTTAAAGGCTGAGCCTCTTCCCTTGTGGTTGAGATGCAGAGAAGAGCATCTGCCTCTCCCCTGCACTGCTGCAGAAGAGAGATGGAGGGAGGATATCCCAGGATCCTGCAGGGAGAGGCAGGGAGTGGAAGAGCTGGAGACGCATTTCTGATGGAAGGCAGCATGAGGTGATGTTTTACACTGCTTTGGTCTTACTGCATTTTACCTCTTTATTGTTTCTTTCTCCTTTTCAGATAATCCAAAGCCTCAGCAACGTCAAAAGGCTTCAGAATAGAGGACACCTTAGTGCCACTCACCTGCAGTGCTTTGCCTCCTGTCCCTTGACACATCCTGCTCAGAAAAGCCAGCCCTGTCCAAATATTAACAGAGTGCTTGGTTGCTAGGGGAGGGGGAGGGCTGCCCTTGGTGGAGGAGCTGAGTGACCGTTCAGGGATGGACTCACAGAAAAACACATCTTCATCCAGGGAGGGCAGCCTGGGCAGCCTCAGCTCTGCTGCATGGCTG